CTAAACATAGAAGAAAGACCTCTGGCCGTAACAGTTTTTAAAGGTTGTTAATATCAGTTGTCCTTTTGTAACAGATCTAGTTGAATGACCACTTCCAGAATTTGATTTGGGCAACAATGCACAGAGAGTTCCATAATTGGCACCTTGGAAGATCTGAAAATATAAATTAATACCACTATACAAAACATAATTCTGAAAAGTCAAGGCATCAGACAATGAAATGGTTATCACAGCTGAAATGATTATTGGAGTTAACAGCATAACATTTAAAAACTACAAGCTTTTAATATTTTTTTTTTTTTACCTCGGAGGGCAGTCTTGAGGTTGACCTTGGCCTGGCGGTGGAGATCTTCCACGCAGGGCGGCCTGCTGCCCGGCAGGAAGACGTTCTCCTGCTGGTGCCACGGAGCRGTGTAGTGAACCGTCCACTTGCTCTCCTCGTCCAGGTTAGACACAGCTGCAGGGACACAACATAATGCGATAAGGACTTTTGCTTAGCTTGCATTTTTATTTGGCTTTAGTGGAGCCTTTTGCACGCTAACCAGAAGCACCATGGGCCACATAGTGGTTGCTGCACGAAAACAAAACAAAAGAACCCAGCCATTTTTAAAATCAAGAACTGCGAGAGAAAAAAAATGGTTGAAATCACGACTCAGAAAATGTTCCCACAACAAGTTTGTTTCCACACACTGAAGAGGAGGAAGAGGCGGGAGATCGAGGTGCTTTGTACGAAGGTGTCAAGTCTACGACATCAACGTGACACTTCGCTGAGAAATCACACCATCTGCAGGCCACACTAGAGAAAGGGGGGCGGGGATAAACTTCAACTGGACAAGTCTAAAAGGAAGGCGACCATTTAAAATCCATCTTAAAAGATACAAACTTCTCTCTTCGTAAGCACATCTACAAAAAGTTTCGAAATGAGTCATTTAACTTAAAAAATCATTTAACAATTCTTCTTTCTTGTGTTGCTAATTCCACACTAACATCATGAAGCATAAACAGCCATCAACATACCTCTTAAATCTGATTTTATTAATAAACACAACTTTGATCAACTCCTAGAGCTTACGAAGCGAGCGCAGCCAGGCCAAAGTCGGTGATCGAGGATTGAGAATAATTTCCATTTCATCAGCCAAATTCAATCCCAAGATTTTAATCCATTCACGCTCATCCCAACATGTGACTGTGAGAGGCAGAGTTCTGGAAGAAGCAGGAGGAAAGTGGGACGGATCTCAGCAGCTGATGGAGGAACGGGGAGTGTTTTTGTTATAGTTTTTTTTTTTTCTTTTCTCACAGGTGCAAATGAGCCAGAGTGTGTGGTGCGGGGGAGGATTAGTAGAAGCACTGGTGTGTTTCAGCAGGAGCCTGCAACTGCAAATGGGTCATCAGAGAACATGTTGCTGCTTTGATGCTCAGTTAACTCCTAATACGTCTGAACAATGAGATGTCAAAAGTGTTGTTTTTGGCATCTGAGAGCGAGTCAAGTTCAGGTTCTGCTGACGTTCCGCGGCTTTTTGACGACAGACACCTCAACGTCTCGTCTCATTAATAAACAGCAGCTTTGTCTTTGGAGCTGACTGTGTTTATTCATGTCTCTTCTTTGTTACGTTTCTGTTAGTTCCTAGTTTCACTCCTACCTACAAACAGTTTCACTCCCACCTACAAACAAACACAAATGGGCCGTGCCATGTCGAGTCGAATCACAAAAAGCCAGGCAGGCGGTAAGCCTGGGACCACCCGATTTGAGTTTCCAAAACAAGACAACATTCACAAGCCTGACCTCTCTAACCACTATAAGATGCAAGAAACAAAAACTGAAGGACATTTGTGAACACTTGTATGACAAACGCACATTAATAATAGGGCTGTGTATTGGCAAGAATTTGGCGATACGATACATAACAGAGGGGTCACGATACGATATATCCCGATATATTGCGATACTGTAAGCAAGGTGATATATTGGGATATATCACGATTTTTTGTCCAAAAATTCTGTTAAATAAAAACCTCTTACTGGGAAAAAAAAAAGGAAAAACCAAAATTCCTTATTATTTGTGCAGACTAATCATGGTGACCTGGCAGGGTTTTATTAAACAGTGTGTAAGTTGTGTGATTAAAAACAAGACTTACTGTAAGTTTGTCAGATAAAAATAAAAGCACAGCAACAGATTGACAGCTTGAGCTGAAACATGTTTATTTGTTGATATGCTTTTATCTTCATTTAAATGAAATACTTGAAGTGAATATTTCAAGTTTAAAAGTATTTATAGAAGATAGTTGGATTTGTTTAATTATTTGCTGCTGCTTTTATGATTTTAGCCTTTATTACTACAGTTACATGTGTTTGCAGCTAAGCAGTCAAGACTAAAGCTTTTATTGCCTAAATGGGAACCCTGCACCAACCTACAGTCTTAAAAAATATGAATTTTTTGTTACAATTAACAAGTGAACTCTACAAAACTCAATTGCAACACCCAAATGCTTATATTACCCATTTTAATCATTAAATTTCTAACAAAAAAATCACATTCAGTTTTCTGATCTATAACAATAAATTTGCAGCATTTAGATGTTTCTGTGATGGTTAAAAAGGATTCAATGACAGAGTGCTTTTAACTGATGCCTCCTCAAACCTTACACACATAAATACAAGTAACTGGAGCTTAAAATGCATGAATTAATACAACTGGTATTGTAATTTTACTTTGATTGTAGCAGGGCCATCAGCAAGTGTAGATTACGCCTTCACAATATTAAATAATTGTATTTCTCATGAAATAAAGTAATTACTGCAGAACATGACAATTTTTTATATCCGATTACTCGATTAATCAACAGATTAATCAACAGATTAATTGATTACTAAAATAATCGTTAGCTGCAGCCCTAAATTTGTCATTAAACCAACAAGTTGATCTTCAGATCAGATCAGAGCAGCAGCCATTTTAAAAACAACCAAAAACCTTTGATCAGTTCTGTCTGTGAACTGATCTGTAAATAGGGCTGCCACAAACAATTATTTTTATAATCGATTAATCACCGATTATTTTTTCGATTAGTCGACTAATC